GCACAAAAGAACAAAACTTTGCCTATTCCTGTGCCATCCTCATAATTGTTGTTACATTTGAGCCCATTGCTGCTGCCACTTTGCCAATTCATCTCGCTGGGGGTCTGCCTCTTGGTCTATGTACAGGTTCCTCACGAGCACAATGAAGTGTTCTGGAATACTCTTTCTTCGCATTGCTGTCTGTATAGTTTGTTATGATGCACATAGTTGAATGTCTTTGTATGGTCAACATGCAAATTACAAGTAAACAACTCTCTAGTATTCTCTGCTTTCAGACAACATCCATTTGATATCAATAGTGATATCACTCATTCCACACCCTTTTCTGAATCTGACTTGAATTTCTGACAGCTGCAATTGTTTTTGAATTATCTTCAGCAAAATTTTAATTGCATGTGATATTAATGATACTGCTTGATGATTTCTGCATTCCATTGAATCATCTTTCTTTAAAATGGGCACAAATGTGGATATCTTCCAATCAGTTGACCAGACAGCAATCTTTCAAATTGGCATAGATGAGTTACTCCCTCTATGGTAACATTAGTTTATTGAAAGATTTCAATATGTATTCCATAAATTCCTTCTACTTTATTTTATTTTTTTGCCAATGACTTCAATGCAGCTTGGACTTCTTCCTTCAATATCATCAGTTTTTTATGTTTTTTTTTAGTTTTTATTGTGAGGTTTACATGGGAGAACATCAGCTTTATACTTATCCTATTGTATTTTGATTCCTTGCAATGATTACAATCCCCTCCATGCATCATAAAATAACCAAAGGGTATACCACACAGGCCCACCCCCCGGCTGCCAGCACACAGCCCTTCTCCCTCCCTGAGTCCACTGTCCCCAACCATTCCATCTGTCCATGTCATCATCTCTGTCTTCACTCCTGGCATCACTGCCTTTCGGGTAGGATCCCACTCTTGGTTCTTCTCACTTGATGGTCCCAGGGACTTCTGCTCCTGGGCTGCAAAATCAATCACACTCCTCCTCCTTTTGTCAAAAAACATCTACCTCTATATTTCTGATCCTCCCAGTCAGTCCTGATGGCAATTATTCACTATTGTACCACAAAAATCTTATTCCCATTTTCTTTTGCCAGCCCGATCTCCACAGACTAGAAATCATTCAGTGATGATTCTACCTTTCCCCACCCCATCTGGAACTACACTCCCTCTTGAAAGCTTGTAAGCCAGTCACTTCTTGCCTTTATAGGAACCCTCAATTTTGGGTAGCTGATATCTAAGTTGCCCATCCTTGTCAACCCTGCGTTCTGAGGGGGTGGGAGTGATCCTCGCTGTAAAGATTTGTTCCCGTTTTTGAGCTGCTACATTCATAAGTATAGGTAAAGTTCATCAAATTGTATCAGGTTACTCTTTTCTTTCCCC